AGCTGCTGGTGTTGCTCCTACAGCTGCTGGTGTTGCTGCTACAGCTGGTGGTGTTGCTGCTACAGCTGCTGGTGTTGCTGCTACAGCTGCTGGTGTTACGAGAGTGACAAAACAGAGAAAAGAGAAGGCAGATGGAAAGATCAAAGATAAAAGATATAGAGCAAAACATCTAAAGAGGTAGAGAGACGATAAAGAAATATAGGGGAATGCAAATGGAAAGAGGGAGAGGAAGAGAGAGAGAGAGAGAGAGAGAGAGAGAGAGAGAGAGAGAGAGAGAGAGAGAGAGAGAGAGAGAGAGAGAGAGAGAGAGAGAGAGAGAGAGAGAGAGGTAATAGAGAGAGGTCTGGGTAGGGAAGCCGAACAAGTGTAGCCAATTTGAGGGCGGAGAATGCGACCGTCCTGGTTGGGTTTCCTCCTCCAAAAACACCTCTTTATTAGGTCGGGCCCGACTTTACCAGCCTCGGTAACCTGGCTCCCGGCCGACCAACACCATACGGGAGTCGGTTTGTCGGCCGGATAGTTGAACATTTAGGTGGTGTGGAGCGCTGACTTGTTGAGCAGCTCGCTGGATCGTCCATGCAAGGGTTGAGATTCAGCTCTTTGGTCCAGCCTCTCAAACTTCAATTTTGCTGTAATCTATCCTCGGGCTAGGCTCGTCCAAGCTGCGGCCGACACCAAAGACGGATGCGTCTTTGGGGGTCGGCCGCTGGGTGGAATGAACATAGCTGAAGACGGGTTGTGATTTTAACACAGTCATTCAAGGTCTATGTTTTCATTCAAATAAAAATTTATATTATTATATATTAGCATATGACGCATATTTAGGCCTGGGTTAGGTTAGGTGTTTAGGTTCTGTCGGCAATCATTTGTGTTCGTGAGTGAAGCAATTATAGAGGTGAGATTCGAGCACAGTTCGTTAGCGAAGCACTGTTCGAGAAATGTTCGAACGTACTCAGTTGTGAGTCGTGTGTAAAGTATTTGTTATTAATAAACAGGAGCCAGATTCACGAAGAAGTTACCCAAGCACTTACGAACCTGTACATCTTTTCTCAATCTTTGGCGACTTAGTTTACAATTATTAAACAGTTAATGAGCTCCGAAGCACCAGGAGGCTGTATATAACAATAACAACAGTTGATTGGCAAGTTTTCATGGTTGTAAACTGTTTAATAAATGTAACCAAAGCTCTCAAAGATTGAGGAAAGATGTACACGTTCGTAAGTACTTGCGTAACTGCTTCGTGAATCTGGTCCCAGGTGCTCTGGCGGTGAGATTAACGATCATTTTGCCTCTGTTGATCAGAAGAGGCTGAATCACGCCTGCTCACACTCAGACCGTTCATAACCTCAGTTACCAGAGACGACGAAGAATAACGGAAGTGTCCATAAGTTTTGGTCTCAAGTTAACATTGCAAGATATCAACTTCAGTATAATGTTGGGTTTCGTATGTGTAATTTTGCAGCATTAAACAGCAGAAGTTGTTCTTCCTCTTCCATACGCTGATGATACTCACTTTATGTGTGCTCTACACCTCCTGCCTTATGATGGGAACATTATATATAATAGAGCAAATACAAGAGCGACTACACAAATACAAGAGCGACTACACAAATACAAGAGCGACTACACAAATACAAGAGCGACTACACAAATACAAGAGCGACTACACAAATACAAGAGCGACTACACAAATACAAGAGCAACTACACAAATACAAGAGCGACTACACAAATACAAGAGAGACTACACAAATACAAGAGCGACTACACAAATACAAGAGCGACTACACAAATACAAGAGCGACTACACAAATACAAGAGCAACTACACAAATACAAGAGCGACTACACAAATACAAGAGCGACTACACAAATACAAGAGCGACTACACAAATACAAGAGCGACTACACAAATACAAGAGCGACTACACAAATACAAGAGCGACTACACAAATACAAGAGCGACTACACAAATACAAGAGCGACTACACAAATACAAGAGCGACTACACAAATACAAGAGCGACTACACAAATACAAGAGCGACTACACAAATACAAGAGCGACTACACAAATACAAGAGCGACTACACAAATACAAGAGCGACTACACAAATACAAGAGGGATTACTCAAAAACCTGAATTACAACAAATCGCCACTATTGAGAGAGAGAGAGAGAGAGAGAGAGGTGTGAACTGGTTTTCTCCTGAGAAGCTCAGCGTGGCGATTCGGTACGACGTATAGACGCCATATATGTAGACGATGAGTCACAGTAACGTAGCTGATGAGTTGATGATCTACACACCTGAGAGTGAAGGAACGACGATGTTTCGGTCTGCCTCGGACCATTACCATTGATAATGGTCCTTTGGTGGGTATACGGGTCTACAGGCCTGATGGTCCTCCTATACCATGACCAATATCCACCTCATCCGTCTTCCCTGTGTTCTCGTGAAGGTCTCTGTGGCGCAGGGGTCACACGCCCGCCCCACGCCTCGCCAGCGGTTTCGGCCGGGTTCGAATCGTGGACAGGAAGGGGCTAACTAGGCACCGATGCTTTATTGAACGCCTCTGTTCGCCCAGCAACAGTTGGGGACGTGGCTGTAAACCGCTGAGTGGGTGGTGTTGCAGGGAGAAGTAGTAGGGTGAGGCTCAGCGCAGGATGTGGGACACGGGAAGTCTTATGCCTGGTGATAAGGGTTACAAGTCCAGTTGTCTTCAACACACTTGTGGTCATATAATATATGTATTTGTGAACTCTCTGTTAATGTCTCTGTCCTTCACTCTTTTCCCCCCCCCCCTACCTATCCCTCTCTATCTCTTCTCTCTCTCTCTCTCCTCTCTCTCTCCTCTCTCTCTCTCTCTCTCTCTCTCTCTCTCTCTCTCTCTCTCTCTCTCTCTCTCTCTCTCTCTCTCTCTCTCTCTCTCTCTCTCTCTCTCTCTCTCTCTCTCTCTCTCTCTCTCTCTCTCTCTCTCTCTCTCTCTCTCTCTCTCTCTCTCTCCCTCCCCCCCTCCACAAAATACTCACCACAGACCAGGCCCATCAAACACGGCTGGACGAGTATTGACTGGCCATCACCTCCACCAGTCCTCCTCTCCGGCCGCCCTCACAACATTTGTCTTATGAACATCTTGTGTCGCAGGAGAGCACGAACATTTGGGCCAGATTCACGAAGCAGTTACGCAGGTACGTACGAACGTGTACATCTTTCCTCAATCTTTGACGGCTTTGGTTACATTTATTAAACAGTTTACAAGCATGAAAACTTCCCAATCAACTGTTGTTATTGTTATAAACAGCCTCCTGGTGCTTCGGAGCTCATTAACTGTATAATAATTGTAAACAAAGCCGGCCAAGATTGAGAAAAGATATACAGGTTCGTAAATGCTTGCGTAACTGCTTCGTGAATCTGGCCCCTTGTAACGTAACGTAACCCCTTACGTAACCCGGCCCCGGTCCTCATCCACTTCATGTTACGGTGGCAAGAAGATCTGTCACGGGGATAGGGTCACACTTAAGACCACAGGGATAGGTCACACTTAAGACCACAGGGATAGGTCACACTTAAGACCACAGGGATAGGTCACACTTAAGACCACAGGGATAGGTCACACTTAAGACCACAGAGATAGGTCACACTTAAGACCACAGGGATAGGTCACACTTAAGACCACAGAGATAGGTCACACTTAAGACCACAGGGATAGGTCACACTTAAGACCACAGGGATAGGTCACACTTAAGACCACAGAGATAGGTCACACTTAAGACCACAGAGATAGGTCACACTTAAGACCACAGAGATAGGTCACACTTAAGACCACAGGGATAGGTCACACTTAAGATCACAGAGATAGGTCACACTTAAGACCACAGAGATAGGTCACACTTAAGACCACAGGGATAGGTCACACTTAAGACCACAGAGATAGGTCACACTTAAGACCACAGAGATAGGTCACACTTAAGACCACAGAGATAGGTCACACTTAAGACCACAGGGATAGGTCACACTTAAGACCACAGGGATAGGTCACACTTAAGACCACATAGATAGGTCACACTTAAGACCACAGAGATAGGTCACACTTAACACCACAGAGATAGGTCACACTTAAGACCACAGGGATAGGTCACACTTAAGACCACAGAGATAGGTCACACTTAACACCACAGAGATAGGTCACACTTAAGACCACAGAGATAGGTCACACTTAAGACCACAGAGATAGGTCACACTTAAGACCACAGAGATAGGTCACACTTAACACCACAGAGATAGGTCACACTTAAGACCTCAGAGATAGGTCACACTTAAGACCACAGAGATAGGTCACACTTAGGACCACAGAGATAGGTCACACTAAATAGTACGAAGGTTGATACAGGTAAAACAAATGCTCTGTCGTTCCTGGGTTACAAATCACACTATAAATAACAAGCAGAAATTCATGGAAGGAATTCGTCTCTGGCAGATGTGATAGACACGAATGACTTCTTTAACACAGTCCCAACCACTTAGTCTGGTCAGTGCAGCACCGGCCTCGCTTCTTGCAAGATCGGCGTTCGATGCCCAGTAGTCCAAGTTGTTGGGCACCGTTCCTTCTCCCCGTCCCATCCCAGATCATCTTTCTCATATCCAAATGCTGCATACTCCTAACAGCACTGCCCTTTCTCTTTACTTTCACCAGTAGATATGGTAGCAGCAGTAGATATGGTAGATCAGCCTTAAAGGTGTGATCTACCTCGTGGGCTAAACTGGCAAAGTCGCCCACAAAGACTAATGATCGTTAACACATGTAACTACACCGACAGCGGCCACACTGGCGACTGTTACCTCACGTTCAGCGGCCGGTCTCTGGGGGCGGCGGCCGCTCTCTGGGGGCGGCGGCCGCTCTCTGGGGGCGGCGGCCGGTCTCTGGGGGCGGCGGCCGGTCTCTGGGGGCGGCGGCCAGGCGCCAGGTACGGGATTCGTCACGGGCGGGAGAGAGACCAACGCCGTCAAGAGTTTTCAAACTGTGAATAGCGGTGATTGACAGCAACACTGTTGACTGGAACACTGTTGACAGGAACACTGTTGACAGGAACACTGTTGACTGGAACACTGTTGACTGCAACACTGTTGACTGGAACACTGTTGACTGCAACACTATTTACTGGAACACTGTTGACTGGAACACTGTTGATTTTAACTCTGTTGGCTGGAACACTGTTGACTGGATCACTGTTGACTGGAACACTGTTGACTGGAACACTGTTGACTGGAACACTGTTGATTTTAACTCTGTTGGCTGGAACACTGTTGACTGGATCACTGTTGACTGGAACACTGTTGACTGGAACACTGTTGACTGCAACACTGTTGACTGCAACACTATTGACTGCAACACTGTTGATTGGAACACTGTTGACTGGATCACTGTTGACTGGATCACTGTTGACTGGAACACTGTTGACTGGAATACTGTTGACTGCAACACTGTTGACTATAACACTGTTGACCGGAACACTGTTGACTGGAACACTGTTGACTGGATCACTGTTGACAGGAACACTGTTGACTGGAACACTGTTGACTGGATCACTGTTGACTGGAACACTGTTGACTGGAATACTGTTGACTGCAACACTGTTGACTATAACACTGTTGACTGGAACACTGTTGACTGCAACACTGTTGACTGGAACACTGTTGACTGCAACACTGTTGACTATAACACTGTTGACTGGAACACTGTTGACTGGAACACTGTTGACTGGAACACTGTTGACTGCAACAGTGTTGACTAGAACACTGTTGACTGGAACACTGTTGACTATAACACTGTTGACTGGAACACTGTTGACTGCAACACTGTTGACTGCAACACTGTTGACTGCAACACTGTTGACTGGAACACTGTTGACTGCAACACTGTTGACTATAACACTGTTGACTGGAACACTGTTGACTGGAACACTGTTGACTGCAACACTGTTGACTGCAACACTGTTGACTGCAACACTGTTGACTGGAACACTGTTGACTGCAACACTGTTGACTATAACACTGTTGACTGGAACACTGTTGACTGCAACACTGTTGACTATAACACTGTTGACTGCAACACTGTTGACTGGAACACTGTTGACTGCAACACTGTTGACTGGAACACTGTTGACTGCAACACTGTTGACTAGAACACTGTTGACTGGAACACTGTTGACTGGAACACTGTTGACTGCAACACTGTTGACTGCAACACTGTTGACAGGAACACTGTTGACTGGAACACTGTTGACTGGAACACTGTTGACTGGAACACTGTTGACTGGAACACTGTTGACCGGAACACTGTTGACTGGAACACTGTTGACTGCAACACTGTTGACTGCAACACTGTTGACTGGAACACTGTTGACTGGAACACTGTTGACTGCAACACTGTTGACTATAACACTGTTGACTGGAACACTGTTGACTATAACACTGTTGACTGGAACACTGTTGACTGGAACACTGTTGACTGGAACACTGTTGACTGGAACACTGTTGACTGGAACACTGTTGACCGGAACATTGTTGACTGGAACACTGTTGACTGGAACACTGTTGACTGGAACACTGTTGACTGGAACACTGTTGACTGCAACACTGTTGACTATAACACTGTTGACTATAACACTGTTGACTGGAACACTGTTGACTTAGACCATGGTAGGCCTAAGCGCAGGCTTCCTGTCCCCCGACCACTGGAATTAAACCAGTGTTGTATTTAACTGTGTAATATTATACAATATTTTATACAATATTGTATAACCTTGTCCCGGTTGTAACTCGCCGCCGTGAACTCCAGCAATTGCATTGTTGTATTGTCCAGTGTTGTATGTAACTACAACACTGGACAATATAACATATAAAGTGATTAGTAACAATATATTGTTACTTTTGTTACTTTTTGGTTACTATATTGTTACTTTTCTAAAGTAATGATAAGTAATGTGTTTACATAGAGGCGTCTCAGCCACCTGGTCAACACTCTTCCGCTCTTACGGACCAAAACATCACATAATTGTTAATATATGCTATTGGTTCTTACTTTATATGTTATTGGTTCTTACTTTATTATTGGTTCTTACTTTATTATTGGTTCTTACTTTATTATTGGCTCTTACTTTATTATTGGCTCTTACTTTATATGTTATTGGCTCTTACTTTACCACTACGGGGGGGGGGTACGTTTGTATACTAGTCAGATTATTAAATATTCTTTCTGTCATATTAAAGTGGAATTCAATAACACAGGTTGCCTTATTGCTTCCGCTTTCGATACGAATTACTTCATAGTTATCAGTAGGTAATTTGTACTTTAGGGTAAGCAACTTACATAGTTACCAGAGTGGAAACGCACTCTTTTGGATCGGCGTTCGGTGCTCGGTGGTGGGACACTGTCTTGCCCCTCGTCTTAACGACCCACTTCTGTATCCTTCCATCAGAAACCTTCCCTGTGTGTTCAGTCATACGAGTTTAGCACTTTGTAAACCCTTCACCTTGCAGGGTCAGCGCTCAATCCCTCGATGCCTCGAGTGCTTGGCCACAGTGCTTTCAAGCTGTGCTAATATGCTAGAGCTTATCGTTGCCTAGCAACCCTTGCTAGTGATCAGCCATCATTCTGGCCTAATGCCTTCTGTGCAACATTTCCTTATATTCTTCCCCTTCCCCAAGAGAGCCCATCAGTGGCGTGGAAGGCGATCACCAGTATTAGTGGTCCGTCACGGGCGAAGTGGAAGTGTATTTGTGGGTCGTGCCGTTCTCATCAAGAACCACGCCAAATATATTTGATTAATCTGCAAAATGATATGATTTATATTGAGGAAATACTGAGGCTGTAGGATGCCTGGAACCCGCCGTGTATGGACTCCCAAGCACAGAGGTGTTCTAACACATATAATTATACCTACATGAGAGAATGTTTGTCTGGAGTTGGAGGCTAGATATTTCGGACTGGCTTTACCCCAAATTGGCAGAGGGAATGGTCTGGGGTACGCGATGAACATAGGCTGGTTGGGATCGCCAGAATTCAAAAGGTAAACAGCGTGCCAGGGCCACATTCAGACCACCCACCACAATTTTTGGCACTGGCCACCCCCCCCCCCCCCCTCCCCACCTCAGCTACACAGCTAAATATTTTGAAAACAAACATTTCAAAATAATTTTCTTATAGTAATGTGCAACATGATTCACTGATCTTGGGAAAATTAACAGAAATTTCCTGTTATCTATAATTTGCCCGTAGTCACATAGAGCATGTGATGCTTCATCAGTCACAATGGTATCTCAAGCAGTGCCACCTTTCTCAGAGTAATTGAGGTAACTATTATATTTTTAAAATTTCACACTGCTAAGCTCCTCTGACGGGTGACCACCCACTCGGCAGTGGTAGACAGTTATGTTTTAATAAGAGTGAGAGACACACAGACAGAGATATAAAGAGATAGAGACAAATAAAGAGACTGAGACAGAGAGGGCCAGAGATAGAGATAGCGAGAGACAGACAATGACAGACGGAGATAGAGAATGACAGAGACAGAAATAGAGAGCGTCCGAGACAAAGATATGGATAGATGGATGGATAGATGGATAGATATATTGATAGATTGTACCTGGATGTGGTTCTGGGAGGTCTTCTACTCCCCAAGCCCGGTCCAGGGCCAGGTTTGACTTGTGAGAATTTGGTCCAACAGGCTGTTGCTTGGAGCAGCCCGCAGGTCCACATATCCACCACAGCCCGGTTGGTCCGGCACTTCTTGCTGAAAACTATCTAGTTTTCTCTTGAAGACTTCCACTTTAGTTCCGACAATGTTTCTTATGCTCGCTGGGAGGATGTTGAACATCCGTGGACTTCTGATCTTCAGACAGTGTTCTCTGACTGAGCTTATGATACCTCTACTATTTACTGGCTCTATTCTTTATTCCATACTCTAATTTCACAGCAACATTTTCATCTCCACCTATAATATAGTAGAGAACTACCACATGAACATGTCTGCAGACAAAGTTAACCACATCTAGCTTATATATTACATCTCCAGCCTCATAACTCAT